CGGGGAGCCATACCATGCAGTGGAAAAGCGCCAATAGGTACCGGTGCCATATTGGTACCGGGTTTCGGTACCCTATTCACAACCACATTTCTGGAGCCCCAACACTGCACATGTTGTATGTTCCCTTAATCAAACACACCTGATTCAGATCATCAGCTCATTAGTAGAGACCAAGAGCTGAAATGGGTCTGTCAGATGAAGGAGACATGTAAATTGTGCAGTGTTGGGAGGGCCCAGGAACATGGTTGGGAACCACTGTATTAGAGCGTTGTGTTGTTGCTTTGGAGGTGCATTTCCAGCTGGTGAAACAACAGCACTTTCATTTCATCACATCTTGTCCCATTTTAGACTTATGTTGAAACACCTGCTGTTACTCCCCATCCAGCTTTATTACCAGATTTTCCTTTATTCTCATTTCAAACAGTTTTCCCTTTGGATTACCTTTGGCTTCATGGGTGTTTACAAGGTGCGTGCTGTCAGCTCTTGCTTCCCTGCAGTGTGAAGGCGATTCCTGTGCTTCCGTTCTCAGCTGTTGACTGACAATGTGTGACGCCTCTGTAACTCATGTCACAAAGTTGGGTTTTATGCTCAATCGTGACAAGTGCCAGTCTTCTTCAGACTTTCCAGTATATCTCTTTCAGTTAGGCTAACAGCATGCCAGCTTTTCTCTCTACTGTCACAGTACAATGTGTTTGATTCACAATAGCTCAGGTGCTGCCTGTCAAACTTGTCCAATATATCACACTGTAAAGTCTTGGAAGCATTCTAGCCAAAGCTACACCTGTGGTCCGACTGGGCATGTTACATCTACGCCCCTTTCAGTTCTGCCTGATTGGCAGACACCTGTCAGTCAAGGCACAGAGGTCATTAGTAAGAGTGACGGGTTGGAAGTGTATGTTCCCATAATGCAGCTGCAATGCAGTGGAACCTTAACCTGGTCCTTAACACTCTATGTTGCTCCCTTTGAGCCATTGCCCGAGGGGAAGAGTAAATGGTTTTCTTTTTTTATTATTTTCTTTTTTATTGGTCATTGCCATTGAGAAACCTATGAGTGAAACTGCGAACGCATCCTGCTGTTTTACTGAAGATCTTGAGTCAATGTTCCCACTGTTTTGTCAGCGTTTGAAACATGAATCATATGTTGCCTAAAGAGCTCTGCAGCTATATGTACACACTACAGCTTTGTAGTGGATGAATGACCGACTGAATGTCTTGGTGACCCTTGTAAGGGACCAGTCCTGTCAAAAACAGCTCTTTTAATGTATAGACAGTCAAAGAGATGCTTGTCATTAATCATTTCTTTTGGATTGAGAGAAGTCGCAGGCAATGTTGCGACAGGTATGATTCAGGTTACGGCATTTCTCGATAGTTTCTGTGGTACCCATAAACACTGATTAACTGTCATGCAACTCTGACAGCAATTAACATCGGCTATAATGTAGTCAGTAGTGCCCTCTGGTGGTCTGGAGCCAAAGAAATAGAATGCTGGTTATAGTTCGGCTCTCTTGGTTCGTTCGGTCCGGACCAAAAAAAGAAAACGATACATCTGGTCCTGGTGCCACGTCAGCATTTCACAAGGTGACAACTTTAGTAGGTTGTCAGCAAGAATAAAGCCTTAGAGACATTTCCACTCAGCTGTGCCTTCTGGCGGTCTTCCAGCAGTCACAAAATCACAGTTACATGCATAACCTGTGTTATCAGTTGAAATTGCTATCAAATGAGGCTGTTTCATTGATTTGTGATAAGCTTTTGCTTCAATTTGGATTTGCAGTCTCTGCAGTTTTTAATGAAATTACTGCAAACAAGCAACAGCAGATAAAAGATGAATTGCAGTGTTTATTCCAGACCACTTTATGCGTACACTTTGTAAGCTTTTCTAATTGAACACCTCTTTAAGCCAGCTTTTCATAGTCCAAGCGTGTGGTTTTGCTGACACTGAGGTGTATTTGAAGCAATAAGGTGAGAGAGGTCATTCTTTTTTGTGAATATGTTCACTATTGGAGGGAATTGTTATGCAGCAGAATGAAACTTCAGTCACTCAAAGAAGTAGTTCACCCAAAAGGGAAAATCTGATGAAAAATTACTCACCCTCAGGTCATTCAAGATGTAGATGAATTTGTTTCTTCACTGGAACAGATTTACAGAAATAAACATGTAACTACATCTCTTGCTCACCAGTGGATGCTCTGCAGTGAATGGGTGCCATCAGAATGAGAGTCCAAACAGCTGATAAAAACATCACAATAATCCACGCCACTCCAGTCCATCAGTTAACGTTTTGTGAAGAGAAAAGCTTTCTCCCAAAAGTCCATCCCCTGTTGTCCTCTCACATCCAAATTCACAGACATATGTGACCCTGGACCACAAAACCAGTCATAAGGGTCAATTTTTTGAAATTGAGATTTATACATCATCTAAAAGCTGAATAAATAAGCTTTCCATTGATGTATGGTTTGTTAGGATAGGACAATATTTGGCCGAGATACAACTATTT